AAAAAAAACCTTTATCGATGAATTGTGTGGCGCAAAAGTTTATAGCATATTTCTGACAGTGGCTAACATTTATTTAGCAGTTATCAAGCACACTGATTACAGTCTAAGTTCTAATTTTCAAGTTTTTTCGTGTTTAAGCTTCTGCTTTTTAAACATTTAAAAACATTGTTAATGGATGGCTTCGGCAACTACTCTAATGGTCCTTAAACTATTATTACCTTTAAAATCAGTGTTAAACTGTAGCCAATGTTTGGCAGATTTTATATTCAGTGATTGACTGTTAGCACAATGTAACACAGTTTTTTGCTTGAGAAAAAAAAAAAAGGGTATAAAAAAATGTTTGTTCACTTTAAATATTTCTAACGTCATCAAACCACCATCATTTGTATTTTGTGTTATTTTAGATGTTTTGAAAAAAAAAATGTTTAAGAACTTATCATTTCAACATTTATTTGGCCGATGTTCCTAATAACTTCAATAACCATGTCTTGTTTCTGCGGAAGAAAGCTTCTTGTCAGAAGTTTCCAAGAAAAAAAATGTTACAAATTTCTTAACCTATTTTGGCCGAGCGTCTGAAATATATATGATGTCAAGTATGCAATGATATCGGTATGACAAGTGAAGTAATGTTATTGAACATATATGATATAGAAATTGAGAAGTACCATTTCCTTAACCTGTTCTTTTTTTTTTTTGTCCAGATATCCCATGGTATGAGCGAAGTTCACCTCGAACTAATTGTTTGGTTGGTTATTCAGACACATTTTTTTTTTGCTCGAGAACACTTTGCTGTATAATTTTTTACGCAAAAACTTCCAACTGTGTGTGGCTCATTTTTTCTTGGTTGATTTATGATGGTTATTGCACGAGTTCCGTCATTTTGTTTCCAATTCGGTTAAAAGAAAAGAACCAACATTTTGCTCAAAAGTTTTCACGAAATTCGTCATTGCTGCGAACTATGGTGGCTCAAAAAAACAAGCTTCTTTTCGTTTTTTTGTCAGTCTACTATTT